TAAGTCTTCCATGTGCCAAACAAAGGGTCTCAGCTATCAGTTCGGGGATTCGCACCAACATGCCGACTGAACCGCAACATTTTCTCAGTGCACATTTCATTGGCATCAAGCAAACAAATCAAACGCACGCCTCATGCACAGGCAAAACTCGTGATGCTGCTGATCTGGGGCATTTCAACGCCACACACTACTTCCGCCAAAACACCATCACAAAACAATCCCCACTGCTGCGTGTGATTGTACAAAAGAACAATCAAATGAAGACGATGATTACGAGGGACTCTACGACACTGTCAGCATGGAGTCACCAAATTAATGTCAAGGCTGTCGAATTAAGCATGTTGAGCAGTGACCATGAGAATGACGAAGCATACGAATCCAGTAGCCAAAACCGTCACTCCTACAATTCATGAAGAAGAGCACTCCAACACCACGACCACCACCTTCAGACACCGACAAGGGTAGGCCACAACGCAGTGCCAGTCCAGATTCAATGCGTCACGTGGCTCCCACATATCAAACAGCACAGCCGACAGTGCGGGTTCTTCGTCAGTATTCACTTCAATCAAGTGGTCACGAAGATTTCTGCGACGCCAGGCGTCGTGACGCAACGTACTTTCATCACGTAGTAACGAGGCTCTGTAGCGATGAAACCAGGTGATAGACAGCAGCTCCATGATATTCGAAACACTACGAGGAATCTATAACTGCATCAGTGCAAAAGCTTGCAACAGTTCTTCTTCAAAATACAAAGTATAAAACCAATAAAACATACCGCATTAAACGATGCTGATATCCACCGCTGTCAACAAACGCAACAGTCAACAACACACTGCAAACACACACAAGAGACGTTGTGCCAAGACAGCTACTCGCCAACAGCCACGTACGTCTACACAACAGTCCGCGAATTTGAAAGACACGGCTTTAACAAGACATTGACGACCTAGGAATAACACACACACACAGACACACACACACACAAACTGTATTCCAGTAAGCCAACTTCATTCCCCAATACGGCAACATCAGAGGTTCACGAAGTGTGCCTAGAGAAGGTTTAGAGAAATATAGTTGAAGGAATTTGCACTCGGAATGGCTAAAAGAAGGCGCCAAGCCGCCATCCTCTGTGCATATCTATTCATCTCACCCAATAAAGAGACCCCTACTGTGCTTTCTGGCACTACGAACTGCGTTCACTCAGCTCCATCTGCATTCGTCAACACATGCAGCCTAAGATGCTCCAACAATGCTAGAAATCGTGTATTGTTTTGTGCTAAAAAAAACATTCAATCACTGTTCTAAAAACGTACCTCCTAGTCTCCTTCTGGACGGATACGACTAAAACTCAACACGTGATCCCAATCACAACGACGGCAGAACACGAGGTGGTGAGATCGCATTCTGTCACACAGTCCATCAGCCACGTTTACTGTCGTATATCTCAATGCCACAATTGACTGTCTCTCAAAACTTCAATAGAAGACATTAGCCGTCATATTATGCTGCCTGGCACATTTGCTACCCAGCACTGCAGCAGCCGGCGTTTGCACATTGACTATCGACCTGTAAAAATTACACTTTGAGTTGTGTAGAGCGTAAGCATCGGCGTAAACAGAGGAAGAAAAGGTCCGCCGTTTCCATTTGTCTTGTCTGTCACGCCTACATTCCCGACGCGAACGTTTTCCGACCTGGTAATTGGCGCTTTTCTAGTACAACTTAAATGGCGTGGTTATTAGGCGACTTACGTCTCACAAAAAAGTCACCCCTTAAGTGATTCTGTCATCTTTCAAATCTTTGAGATTTTCCTTGGAACTGGGACAGCACCAGGAGCTTGAATTGGTGCGCGGAATTGTTAGGGACACTTTTCAGATCACCTCTCTGTTCCACGTGGTTCCTCCATCATTCAGTACGGCTTCCTCCTTGTTGACAAAGGCACTTCTTTGCAGACCGCCACTAGAAAAGTTACATGCATACTTTTTATTTTCACATGATGTGTTCCTTTGGTTACAACAATTCGCCGCTCAATGGAGCATTCACATTGGCCCATTCGGTCATTTTTCATCAGACCATTATGAATTGTCTTTACGGAAACACCACAAGGACAAAAATTTTTTCAGCAGCAGACTACGCACATCCCATTGAATAACATGATTGTTCACAAGGCAAAGAAAGGAAGTTGACTCTCCGATGGCACCAGGTGGAGGAGAAGGAGTTATAAA